AGGTCACGACCCCAACTCAAGCTTGCCGAAGGATTCCACAGGGCCCAGCCTACGAATGGCCCAGCCTCACAGTAGCCCGGCTCCATGAAACTTCATACTGACGTAGCTCTAAAGGCCTAGCCTCAAATGCTTGCCGAATGGCCCAGCTCACGGTCCCAGTCCAGGCCCGTAAAAATTTATCAAGGCACCCAGCTTGCTAATAGCCCAGGTACCCATTTATCAAATCTGCCCAGCAGTCCAAGCCTCTCACCAAAACTCACAGCTATCAACCTTGGCCCAGCTCCAAGACCCCAGCTACAGATGGTCTAGCTCCAGGACCTCACGGCCCAACTTCAAAGCCCAGCTCCCAGCTCCAAGTAGCCACCTGCCGAAGCTGAGAACATAAGGCTTCACAACAAAAGAAAATTTCTTTTCTACCCTCGGCAAGGAATGAGCAGAAACAATTTGAGAGTAAAAAAAAAAAAAACAAAAAACAAAAAAAGGAAGAAAACCAAAGGCATACCTTACCGCAGTTGCACGTGCCTACCCAGGCTCCGACCCAAGCCTTCACCAAGTCGGAAGCCACCCCGCAGGCCCAGCTCCCAACTTGACCAAGTTATGCAGAAAATTCGAACAGCACGCAATATGCCACCGACGTTGCTGGCTCTCCCTTCTTCGATCAAAATCTTCACTTTACCGAAGCCGTGCCTACCACCTCTCAAACTTCTCTCGACCTCCTCTTGGATCTCACGAAATCTGATTCTAGTAGGCCTTGCCGTTCGGCAAGGCTCGATCAAAAGCTTGGAAACTCATCCAGCTTAGGCCCCGAACCGGACCTTCAAGCCAGCAACCCTACTGATCAACCCACAGGACCCAGCTCCAAGAGAACTCTTCCTCACAACTCTCGATCCAAAGCCTAGGCACGCGAAAAAAAAAAAAAACACAGCTTAAAAAGGCTGCCAAAATACTAAGCCACCAAGCTACCTGCACTAAGCCCAGCCTCAGTTTTCGAAATCTAGCGCCCGACCTCTTCTTTTCAGACCTTGACGAAAGGCCCAGCCACAAAACAGCCCAGGTATGCCTCAAAAAGGAGGGGCCCAGCTACATCAAAAAATCCACGTTGAAACCCCACTCTAATTTGCCCTTGCCGAACGGCAAGGGCCATGCTGAGGCTGTTTTTGCCACCTTTCTCATTTCAGCCCAGGGCCCAGCCCTTGCAAAATCGTTTAAGACCAAACCACTTGGGTCCCTTGCCGAAGCCTAGCTCCAAGGGGAATTTTGCCGAAATCTCTATTAAGGCCCAGCCCTTTTATCCCAGATCTTTGCCAAGAACCTGAGTATACTCCAAAGGCCCAGCTCCTTGCTCTTCAAAATTTTGCTCCCCAAGGCCCTCCCTTGCCAAAACTTCAAGGCCACGGCCTCTACCGAAGCTCAGCCCCACAGAGCTCAGTCCCGGCCTCCTTGCCAAAAGTCCAGGTACCTAGCTACCAACAAGTCCAAGGCTCACACAGCTTTTATTATATCTTTCAAGTGTTAACGCAACTTCTAGCTTGCCAACTTGGGGGACTAGGGACTGCCCTAAGGCTCCCACTGAACCTGGAATGCTCGGTCATGATCACACAAAAGCTTACAAGTTCCCAACCCAGAAGTCACTTCTTGACCGCGAACTTGGGGGACTACTGTTTACACCATAATCAACCGAGCATATCCAGTCTCAAAACAACTAGCACCAAGGCAG